TTTACAAGTTCATGCAGTGTGCCTTAAAGGCCATGTGGAATCATGACACAGTCTTCTCTGTAAATACAGTACCTGCTCTTTACAGTACACATATGCAAATACTGAAAACTCTTCCAGTATGTCTAGAGTGAGTTTCTAGCAACAGGACAGGGCATGTTAACAAAACTATGTGTGTGGACACAGAGACATAGTATGTATTGATAAAATTCAGTATTACTTGACATTTCAAAGAGCAAAAGAATTAAAATGTAAAAAATCAAGCCCTCTTGATGGCTAATTTCTTTCCTTTATAGCTGTTTATGGAACTCTATTGAAAAAAATATATATATTTCTTCTACAGGAGAAGGCATTTTACTGAAAATATTTAATAGTTTGCCAGAGTGTTCTACCAATAGAAAAAATAGTTGTTTACATAAAAATATGCAGGAAAAGGTTTTACTAAGTATCATTTTACAGTAATTTTCAATCTTCATTTCCCTACAATGACAACATAGCTTCCAGAAAAACATATAAATATACGGCATGGCATTGCATGGCATGGCATAGAATAGAATAGAGTAGAAAAGATTAGATTAGGATGGATTAAACTAGACTAGACTGGAATGGGATGGAATGGAATAAAAATGGTTAGGGTTGGAAAGTACCTTAAGATCTATTTATTAACAAGCTACTTCTTTTAGCAGTAAAATACCCCTATGTTGTGCTAAGCAATGTACATTCTTTAACCTCTCCTAGAATTAGTCTAGTGAATGTACTAAGAGGCAATTAAATATTTTAATCTCTTTATTTTAAACTATTTTAGGTACAAAAGGTATTTGATAGCCGTCTTACAGTTCTTAACAAAACCAAATTAACTAGAGACTCTTCCACCCTGAACACCAACTAAATTGTTCAAGGAAAAGGGGAAAAAAAAAAAACCAACCATCTTTTCAGTATCTGGATATCTTTAAGCAGCAATCATTAGAAACTTTCCTAAGCCACTGTATAAAATTACTAAATTCTCACATCTTGCATACTGTGAGAGATGCTTGTCACCCTTAACTCTAAAAGTCTAATAGAATTTTTAAAAGGAGACAACACAGACGAACAGAAGCACAGACTGCCTTTCATAGAAGGAGAAATTCTGATTCTTCAGCTTAAAAAGATGATTTTATAAAATATAACAGGCTGCGTGGAATATAATAGAAATCTGTAAAGGCTAAGCATAGTATAGACATGGAGTATAAGGAATTACACAACACTAGACTAGGACTCCCCAGTAAGCATGTTTAAACCAAACAACTTCTCTATATATCAGATAATTAAATTGTAGAATACATTCTCACCAAGTTCTGAAGCCAAAAATATAAATGGGTTTAAAATGGCACTGAAAATATTTATGGAAGATAGATTCCTAATGCTCATTAAATAAATGCAGCAATCTGCATGCAGCCTTTGCCTCAGGAATCCATTAAAATACCTGAAGTGGCTATATAAGAATTAGCCTATACATGCCCTCCTCCTCATGTGCATTTTTAAATACCCATTGCTGGGCACTGTCAATACACAGTATTAGACTAGATGAATCTTTAGTGCCTCTTAGCATGAGATTCCTTTATTTTGATTGGAGCTTAATACCATTACATAATGTTCCAAGATTCATACAAGTCAAACCCTTAGGCAGAAGGGACACCACCAAATCCCAGTGAGGAACAATCTGAATGTATCTTTTACAAAATATATGCCATATGAATCTGAAGAAATAAAAATTGACAGGCTAATTGCTAAGCATCAAGAACAGTTGTTTCAGGGGGCAGCTAAGTATTTCTACTCTGTAAGGATGACAACATGGAAATTTCTTAAACACTGCAGATAAAACTCATGATGAAGTACACAGGAGCTGGAGATGTAAGTATTCTTTATCAAGAAAGACCAGATCTTCAAGACCATTCTCAATAATCTTTGGGAGAGATACCTGATGACTGGAGGAAAGCAAATGTCACTCCCACCTTGAAGAAGGGTAAGGAGGAGTGACCGAGCACCAGCATGTGTATTGCTAGTCCAGAGAAGCTGTGGAGTCTCCATCCCTGGAGATATTAAATAGCCATCTGGACATGGTCCTGGACAACCAGCTATAGGTGACCCAGCTTGACCCAGGTGGGTTGGACGAGATGATCTCCAGAAGTCCCTTCAAAAGTCAACCATTCTGTGATTTTGTCATACAGAATCCATGTCCAAGGGTGTCAGACTAATCCTGCCTTTGCCCATAAGGATATGTGGTCAATGATTCTTCAAAAATACTTTCACTAGAGCAAAACTGAAATTTGTAACATGATACCTTATGTTTTCAACCACCACTATGATTCCTTCTCTGCCTTCGCCCACCACATTTTGTCCTTCCCAGATTAACTCTAAGTTATTTTCATCAGCCAAGTTGGGCTGAAATCCTTTACAGACTCAGATACTGATAGTGATTTCTAATGGAAATGCCTCAATATGTATGGATAGTGGTAATAATTCCTTCAGACATACAGAGTTCCACAGTGTTCCCAGTGTCCCATAATATTGCCAGGTACAAAACTTTTCAGCAAGCCATTAAACCCAGACAAACAACTAAATAAAGAGGTTAGCATTTCTGATCAGTTCTCTCCTTCAATGTCTACAATAATAAAAAAATTACTCATGTTCATTAATAAATTAATGAAAAAAAACAAATAAATTAATGAAGTTATCACAAATAAACAGTGTTTGAAGACGCTTTAAAAAGTCATTTGTCCCAGCACAGGAAAAGCTACACTTGTATATGTTCTAACAGATACTTGCTAAACTGCTCCTAGAAATCTTCACTAATATAGCTTCCACACAAGCCCTAGGCAAACTGTACAAGCATCTTAAGTTTTCCCTACCTAGCTGAATCCTCCCTGATGCAACTTACCTTCCTTCGTGCCTCCGGTGTTTCATCACCAGAGGCATGGACAAGATATTATAACTTCTCATTTTTCAGCAACTCTCTGCATAATTTAATATTTGCCCATCTCCTTCATCCCCTGGGATTTTCTCTTCCAGATGCTAAATCATCTCATACGTTTCAATCTTTCCTTATACATGCCACATTTCTTAGGCATCTGTTTACTCATTCTTATTACTCTCCACTGAATTTCAGCTGCTCCACATCATTTTTGAAGGATGGTGTTCCAGGTGGGACCTTACCAAAGTTTAGCAGGATGAAAACTTCTTCATGGCACTTCCAGGCTAGTGTCTATACATTCCAGTGTGGTATTTATATCCTTCACAATGTTGACTCCTCCTCAACTTCTATACTATTATGGCTCCCAGATTCTCTGCCACAAACTTCTACCTACACAATTTTTCTCTATCCTGTCTCAACCATATAAATTATCCCTACAGAATTTCACTACCTTGCATTTATCCTTTTGAATGGTATCATAATATCATAACCATAGCTTGATTTTTCAGCATAATTTTGGAATATAATCCTACTATTAGATGTTATACTCCTCCCAGCCTTGTGCCATCTGTAAATTCAAGGAGTATACACCTAAACTCATTTCTTAATTATTTAAAAAAATTGAATTAAGGTAGTTCCCTAGGAGATCACTGTTCAAAAAAAACCCTTCACAATAAGAGCAACTATTTATAAATACTTTAGGGCAATTATGACTCAACTGTATATACTGAGTATATATTATTTTCAGTTTCTTCAAAGCCATATGCTTTATATGTACAGCACTGCTAAGCAGAACAAACTGCTGTGTTAAGGAAACTGGGAATACAAAGGAGGTACCGAGGTGTTGTGAACAAAATGTAATATTGCCAATATATAATGATAACTGATAATTAAAAACTTCACTATTAATATTATATGCAATTATATAGGAATTTAAGTGAGAATATCAGAAACAGAGCTCTTAATAATATATCAATTTTATGGCTTATTTCTCCATTTAGTTTTGTGAAAATTTTGCAGTGTATTCTCAAAAATAACTTACAACTTTTATATCCTGCAAGTATGAAGCTCCACTTAAACATACATATTTGAAAATAAACTAAAACTGATTCTGTCTGGAAAATAATTAATAACGAGTTATATCCATGTTTTAAACCAGTTATGTATGGGTTCAAAAGCAAACATTTCTTCTATCACGTGAATTTACAAGGCATTCCCCTTTAGAAGAAAGTAAAGACAGCAACTTAACTATTTAAAGCTTAAATAATACCAGAAGTCACATTTTAAAAATTTTAAAATTTAGAATAATAAATATTATTTCTTTTCTCTTTAAGAAAAAGAATATTTTCAGCTCCATAGTTTAAGTTCTACTCAAAGACTGAATGTCCTAGCTTTGCCAGTTTCTGTTATACTTTCAGACAGCAAGAAAAGTAAATATTTCACAAGGTTCTCATACTGGTTTAGCACTGTAAAAGATCCATGGATGAAATACTGGCCCCATTAAAGTCAGAATTTCCTCAGCTTTGACAGGTCCAAGATTTCACCTTTTATCTGCTAAAGTTTTGAAACTTTACAGATATTTTAGAAGCATGAAAAAAATTAAAATACATTTTCCTAGTCCTTAAAAAGCTCTTCATACATATTATGTAGATTTGTATAGCATTCTATGCATAACCAGTATCACAAATACCATGCACATGCATAGACATGCTATATATAACACAACATGTCTGATCATTCCAGCTCCTCATGCACAGAAAATGCATCCCTTCACTGGGAGTTTCATGTATGGAACATTTGCATAAAAAGGCAAATGTAGCAGTAGTAACTCCTTAGTTTGTATTCTAACGTAATAATTTGAGTTACTGATATGGCGAGTACAACCTGATTTCCAGTTTTCCCTTTGGAAACAAGGGGTCAGAAAGCAAATGGTGTCAGCTTGTAAAATGCCCTCAGCAGGAGGTTCTACATGGGCAATTATTTTAAACATACTCTCCAGTACGTTTTAATGCTATACAGACATTACTTAGTCTAACAAGAGCAGCTTACTTACGTCTGGGGCTCCTTTTCATTTTGCTGTTTTTGCTGTGGTTGAAGAACGTTATTTACCAGCTCAGTGATCCCACTAAAGGGAAACCACCTGTTTAAATAAGCAAATAATGTGACTGAATAACCAATAAAACCACACTAGTTTAAATGTTTTCTTATCCAACTTTAATAGAAATATATAGGCAGAAAAGCTAGAGCCAATGGGAATGTTAGCTACAATACTAAGTCAGCCACGAGGGATGTAAAGGAAATAAAGTTTTACAGTTCACAAGCAGGCAGAAAGTACCTACATCCAGCTAACACGTGGATGAAGTAAGAAGCTGCAGGTAGCTTACTTACAAGCCAGTCAGGAAGCAGATGGCAAACTAACTGCAGCCTATCAGGTATTAGTGAAAGCTAATACCAACAAAGGTGCAGGAAGCAGAACATGGCAAAGGTAGAAAAGTCAAGCCTATTGCATTTTTAAGATATTTTACTTACTGTGTCAGCTGTGGTTTTTGCTCTTCTTTGACCCTAAAAAGATAAGTTTGCACAACTGAGTGCAACATGTTGTAAAACAACTACCCTGAAGTCCTATAATCTGCATCATATGGGCAGGAGAACGTTCTTACTTTAACCTAAAAGGATTTCCTTAAATACCTGTTGTATATTTATATTAAGTTGTATTCTGTGCTTATTTCTATTTAGAATTAAAAATGGGGAATGCCAAGTATTGCAAACATTTACTTATAAAATTGAATCAGTAATGTTCTATAACCAGTTTCCAGTTCTTCAGATAGCGTATCATGTTAGAATATTTCCAGGAGTACATTCAGCCAAAAATGTAATGGAAGGTGCTTTGATTTTTTTTTATTTACAACCTATCATAGAATCATATAACCAAGGAGGTTGGAAAAGACCTTTAAGATCATCAAGTTCAATGTGAATTTATAACATGCAACATGTAATTTAAAATGCAATATCCTAATAGATTAAAAGAAAATCTGCAATATACGTATTAAACTACAATGTTGTCAGGGCCTGCAGACAACGTAACTCTAAAAACTACAGAAGAAAAACTAAGGAATTTTACTTTTGAGTAAAATTTACTTAATACATACAGTAGGTCTTTATAGTACTGATTCATATTAATCCATTGTCTTTAGGCAAATACCCTATCAGTGAGCAAGCCAATGTTCTATGCAATTCCTCTCAACCAAACCCACAAATGCAGGCATACACTCACAGAAATATTTGCATCCTTTAATTGAAGATATTGGTCTTAAGTATCAAGTTAGGGTCTAGCTTCCCTATATACTTAAAAACCCAAAAAGGTTCCTAAATAGATGTTCTGAATGTCTCTATGAAGAATATTCTGCTACCTAACTAAAAAGCGAGTGCAGGCTCTTAATATAAGTGGATGCTTAATGCTGGACAGAAAATTAAATCTCACCAAAATAGCTCCTTCACCATTTGATAGCCCAGTGAATACCTCTATAACCAGGGGTCAGTGACTACACAAGAACTAAATGAGTGGACACACTCAAAACTTTCCAAAACTGACTAGAGAAAGGGAAAACTGAACATGTAGTACACAGCAAAATGTCTTCTAGCATGGTTTTGCCTCTTCAGCACTTTAGAAATCTATACACCAAAGCACTTTAGAAATCTATATTCCAAGAAATGTTCCAGTAAAAAAAAACAAAAAAACCCAAAAAGCAACACTCAAAAAGCCCAAGCAGATATATTCCAAAATGAAGAAATATAAAAATAAAAACTTCTATTACAGTCGCAATTCTACTTCTTAATCATAATATTATGTTTAACCAAGATTTCGACATGTGGATTTGAAAGGGGGAAGAATTCAAACATTTCCATGCTTTTTTCACTTAGCAGCTTAGGATGTTTAATTCAAATCCCCCAACATTAAGAGCCTAAAAGCTCTATACGGTCAACTGAGAGAAGGAAGCACCCCCAGACAATGCTCCTAAATTGCATGCTAGACAGCATAAATATCGCTTCTCTGGCAACTGGACAAAGAAAACTGAATATGCAGCTAATGCTTATATTCCTCCCCATACATGACTTCCAAACGTATTTATTGGACACTTTTAAAGCTTTTACTTCATTACGAATTTTTCTATTGAACCAAACAAATGAAATCTGAGCACTTCACATAAACAGATTACAATCAACATCCTTCCTTTCTATAGCAACCATGGTCAAATTTTTTTTCAAATGTGGAACTGACATCAAAACACAGTAAGATCAAAATTGCAACACAGCACACACTTCTGAGCATGCTCTTTGAAATCTTTGTGCTTTTTTCAAGGGGATCTAGCATCTTTACTAATAATACATGTTCAATAACTTCAATTCCAGCTGCAAGCCCTTGGTATCTCTTAAACTCTCACAGCAGATTTTTAGTTTAGCAGCATTAAACGAAAAACATTGTCCATTAGCAGACATTTTCAAAACCCACTTTTTTAATTATTTTTCTAGCATTTTATATACTGTTTTCTAAGTCGAGACATAATTTGACTCTCCAATTCAAAATATATCTCCTATGAAATAATCTTTTCTCTTACAATTTTGTCTCACCCACTGTACACTGTCCAACACCGCAGTTATGTGAGGACAACAGCTTCCATTATTACATAACTGTGACGCATTCCTTGAGCACTCTCTACACATTCTTCAGTCCCTGGATTTGGCAATAATCTTCCTTGACTTTATGACACCCATGGAGGGCAAGCTACAATTTGAAAAGAAAGTATGAAAAAATCCATTGAAAAAATAGATTTGACCATATGAAATTAAACTAATATTGACCTTGTGGATCAACAGGCCTGAACCCTTCAAGTGTACAGCACAGATATTTATCTTTCAAGGTCAGAGAATAGACAGAGATTCTGGATATATATCAGCAAGCCACAGGCTAATGCCTGCTACTCTTTCAATATAGACTTTTCAATAAGGTGAGATCAGGAGTAGATGTGGTAGTAACGGACAGAAATAATGATATATTACATGAAATACATCAAATGTAGTTTTAACACTGTTGTGGTTTAAATACCTTTTTCTAGACACAAAGGACTGAAGAAACTACATTCTTAAACCCTGCCTATATACACACATATAGTTTTACGATCGACAGAGAGATAGACAACAGAATAGCAAAGGCATATAGAGCCTTTGGAAAACTCCATAAAAGAGTCTGGTGTAATAAACACCTGAAGAAAAGTACAAAGATCAGTGTCTACAGAGCCATTGTATTGTCTACTCTTTTATATGGGTCTGAATCATGGGTCATCTATCGTCATCACCTGCGACTCCTGGAACGCTTTCATCAGCGCTGCCTTCGTACAATTCTAAACATCCATTGGACTGACTATGTGCCTAATGTCACTGTCCTTGAACAGGCAGGGGTCACCAGCATCGAGGCCACATTGCTGAAACTGCAGCTGCGCTGGGCAGGGCACATCTCTAGAATGAAGGATCACCGCCTCCCCAAGATCGTGTTTTACGGTGAACTTGCCACCGGTAGCCGCAAGAGAGGTGCCCCAAAGAAGAGATACAAGGACTCCCTGAAACAATACCTTAGCCTTGGCCATATTGACTACCATCAGTGGTCCACCTTGGCCTCCAATCGGGAGACTTGGAGGCACACCATACATAATGCCGCTGACTCCTTTGAGAGTTCACGAAGAACTAGTCTCGAGGAGAAAAGACAACGCAGGAAGAATCGTGTCCCACCTGTTCCACCCAAGGAGACCTTCTGCTGTGTTTTTTGTAGCCGGATTTGCCTATCCCACATTGGCCTTCTTAGTCATCAGCGCGCTTGTAGTAAGCGTGGGTAAATGCCCTTCCCAAATCTTCGTTCGCGAAGTCAAGCCATGATGATGATGATGATGAGTTTTATTTTCTTTGGGTACAAAGACTGCTTTGTATTTTACTAGATTGCATACTCCTGATTATATGCATTGCTTTCTCCCATCCTTTCAAAAATCAGCTACTAATTGCTTAAAAGAAGTGGACTGACAGGTCAAAAAAACCCCAACCAACCCAAACATCCATTTACTCAACAGACCAACTGAAAAACCCCAAGCAGCATGTCCATTCTCTGCTTCTTCCAGACTACATCTTCCTTTTACCTTCCCATATCTTTTCAATCTTATCCTCTCAGAACTCCTCCAAGAACAATGCCAGTAGTAGTTATTCACTAGAAACAATTTCCGATTGATACTAGCTTGCTAAAATCACCAACAGGCTGCAGATGACGTATCTGATTATCAGTGATGGGGACAGTGCTGTATAGCAGTGTAGAATATTAAATATCACCTATTTTTAATTTTCATTATTTCTGTCACTATAAGAATTCATTCAACACTTCGCACAAGCACCAAATAAATTCTATAATGTTAGAAGAGCCTAAAGCTTTCATCACACTTTTCTTTGCAGAGTTCATAATTCTGTACACTGCTTCACTTGAAAACAAGCTTGGATTTGTCTACTTGTCAACAATAAAGAATTTTTACACCTTGCACTTTGTCATCTGGAACCTCTGCCATATGAAACACTCACAACTTGCAACTCCTCTGCAAGCCTACATAGTTCAAGTGACAGTCCCTTTTGACCTTTTTCAGGAGTGAGTATCGTTAGGTTAGAGCTCAAGTCTCAGTGAACACTTTCTGATGTTAGATCCTCTCCTTGTACTAAACATTTCCTCAAAGATTATGGCCTAGCCCCACTGTCACAGAGCATGAATAGAACAGAACAGAACACAACAGGACAGAAGAGGGAACAGAACAAGTAAAACAGAAGTAGGAAAATTATTCTTAGCCCTTCAAACTCCTAATAGGAGTTTATACAAACTTTTGTATACTTCAACTGACTGCCATAAGCAAAAGCTCCTTTCTAAAATCTACTATGCCAAAACCGTAAGGCATTCTTCCCAAAAGATGCATTGGTCACAGGTAAAGCAACAAGCACTGTCACCAGACCTCTACTTTTACATCCTTGGATGCACAGCCACAAAATCATGGGGGCAGAATTGAGGTGTCTCCGTCCATGAAAATGACCTGTAAACCACACTACTCACCTCCTAGATGTCTGAAATGAAACAGGTGGCTAGTTCTTCTCTAGTGAAGCTTGAGGAAATCCAGATTTTTAGAATCAGCCATCCTTGGCACGGATAAACGTTTTAGTATCTATTCAAACCCAACGCTCTCAAAATTCACAACTTTGCCACCCATGGACCTACAAGCACAAGATCTGATCTGCAGGAGTAGTCTGGATGCACCTAATGTCTCCTAGAAACACTGAGTTTAACATAAAGCATATAATAGTCCATGGCACTTTCATTTAAAAATGTTAAAAGTCAGTAGTTACAGCCCTTCGCCCAGTCACTTTCTATGCTCTCCTTATCTCCTAACCACTTCAGTTAGGTGATGAGGACAGACTACAATGGAAGCTTTTTCTAGTGCTTTTCTTGAAGCTGAGAAGATTGGAAATACAAATCTTTTGTCTGGGAT